GGTTTTTTGGGGTTGAGGGTTTAGGGGGTTTAGGGTTTAAGGTTTAGGGTTTAGGGGGGTTAGGGTTTATGGGGTTGATGAGGGTTTAGGGGGTTTAAGGTTTAGGGTTTAGGCTTTAAGGTTTAGGGTTTGGCTTTAAGGTTTACGTAGGGTTTTAGGGTTCAGGGTTTATGGGGTTTAGGGCTTAGGGGGTGTAGGCTTTAGAGTTTAAGGTTTAGGGTTTCGGGTAGGGGGCTCCGGAGTGTGATAGGGCTTGGGGTTTAGGGCTTGGGTTTAGGGTTTAGGGTTTAGGGTTTAGGGTTTAGGGTTTAGGGTCATTGAATTACTTGTCCAGTCAGCGTCGTAGGGCTGCAGGGCACTGGGTAGCAGGATTTTTTGTCACGTAGAGCCCTACCTTAAAAACCCAAAACCCACTTTTATGTAGGTTCTTTTTATAAACCCTAATATGGGATTTATAGGGACCCTACGAAAAAGTAGGTTTTGGGTTCTTAAGGTAGACCCTAAACCGTGTTCCATTCTGACCCGCAGCCCTCGGTACCATACCTTCCGCATAGGCCTCCCTCCTCAGTTCGGGTGAGGCGAACATCCTTCTCAAGAGGGGAGAAGAACCCCACCATACAGCCCCAACAGCATCGTGCGGTGGATGATAAAAATCCTGCATTACCCATAAAAAGGAACATACCAAAATTCCCACAGATTAGGGTCCTTAAGGTAATGCAGGATTTACATCATCAAGAGTAGTAAGCCGTATTCAAAGTACCAAGGCCCCCTTCATTAGACCCAGGAGCCTAACCCCTAAGCCCTTGAACCCTACACGCACAAAGCCTAAACCCCTAAGCCCTAATCCCTAAAACCCTAAACCCTGAACCGCAGGACTTCCTCTATGTTTTCGTCCTCGTCTTCATGGGCCACACACTTCGTGAGAGTTCTCTGAAGCTGAGCCGCTGTCTTAGGGTTTAGGGGTTTGGGGGTTTAGGGTTTAGGGTGTCATGCTCTCACGAGTTTCGGGTTGGGGTAGTTAAGCCTGGATAAATGCCAATAAAGTTCCTTGGGGCTTCTTGTTGTAATTCTACCTCAATAGAAGTTGAAGCCAGTTATTGCGGGCTCGTGTATTATTTAAGGTTTTGGTTTCTGGAAATTTAGATTGCCGTTTCTGTCCGCGTTTGCCCGGTACTCTCCTTCAGTGCCTCCTAGAGACGGATACCTTGGAAGAGGCCGAAGATTAATATGATCTACTTGGAGGTTCCTGGGTAGTTATAAATGGAGTTATAAGTAGGGTAACCATAATTATAACCCAAATTATTGGACTCGTAACCATACTTACAACTAACCATGAACCTCCAAGCAGGGGCCGGAATAATGACCAATACTATTCCCTGCAGTCCCGTTTAAAAAAGTAGACTACAATATACCCTAAACCCTATTAACATTATGCAGGCTCTTATATCTTTCTATCCTTGAGACTTGCGGAAGAGGCAGCAGCCAAGGACCCACGGTGTGGAATGTCCGGTCTGGGCCCTTTACCTTTTCGTGATGTTGGCGCTGGTGGTGGCCCTGAACTTCGTCAGCAACTTAGATAGCCAATGGGAGAGCTTTAAGCTTTTTGGCTTTTTATATGAGGTCTATCCTAAAAAGTTTGAACTTTTTTGGGCCTGGTTGTTGAAGACGAGAGGCAAGCTCTTCACTGAGATGTTCATTTTCGTACACTCAGCTGCGGGCTGCGGGAGCTGCAGCTGCACCTAGGTACGGATTTGGGATGATCCTCAATGTCTTTTTCTTGGTTTGATATAGAGCCATAGCTATGAAGGGGTGTATATGTATGTGTATATCATCTGTGTGTACATGGCATATATAGATACACACATGTTCGCGAGGGTTGTTGAAATCGAAAGCTAGGCGAGGGAATTCTCACTGGCATTATCGCAGCTGGCAGCAAGCATGCGACCACTTGGAAGCTTGGCAGAGACTAA